GTTGTTAGATATGATAAAATACCTAAAACAATATATGATTGCAATAGATAATTTAAATAAATCTAAAATTCTTAAGATATTGGTCAAGAAGAGATCAGTGATTTTGCACCCCAGTTTACACTCCATTAAATGGCACAGGGCTAAGTGCTCACCTTCTAAAATACGCCATCTTTCCCAAGATGTTTCATGTTGAACTTCTAAGATCAGACAACTTTCCAAAATGCTGAATTAATATTTCTGCAATGCTGTGTAGAATCTGGAACTTGACTTTTTTTTTTTTAAACCAGCCAACCAGATTTCAAAACATCCTTTTCTTGGAGATTATACAGATACTGTAACAACGTAATTGTCAAAATAAACAAACTAACACAGAACATAATGACAGAAAACACAAATATTTTCAACTGTGAACATCAGGTTCTAAACAAAGCAGAGCACAAATCACAGTCTCTGACAAACAGAGGTTTTTTGGTGTGCATTCTGGAATCTACAAACTGTAAGTGTACACGGCCATTCAATATGTGGATGCACTCTCAAAGAAGTAACTGATCATAATGTGAATTTTCCTTACCCTGACTGAAAACTCAGGGCAACCATATCCATTGGGAAAGCAGTATTATTTGGAAAGAGGCCAAGTCAGACAGATGGCAGAGAAAAGGGGATCAGTGAAATGTTCAGCATTTGGAAAGTTTCAGTAGCAGTGTAACATTTTAAAGGACAAAGAAATTGGTCGGTCTCTTTGGCTTCTGATATTACTAAAAACAAAGAAAGGTATGGCATAAACAAAACGCATTTTTCTAGATTAAACCAAATAAATACGTGGTTTTGAGAAAAATACGTGAAATATTTCTCAAGCCAAGGTGTCAAAATGTATATGTTTTATATAATATATATTTCATATATAATAGAAAATATTTTATTGTGTTTTCTAAATGAGTATACACTGTATCAAGAAAACTTTGCCTCTTAGCCTCCTTGATTTTAAAGATAAATTTTGAAACCAGGGCAATGTGATTACTATTTGCATGACCATCTGTAACTTAAACTTTTTAACTATTATAAAAACGTGACAGATACAGTTCAGGTGTGTGATCAGCAGGCTATTCACTTCAGTTCACTGCTCTTTATCTGATGTAGTGCTGCTCACCAAAATCTGAGATAAACGAACAGATACTGTCTGTTTTCCTGTTTCATGCACTGAGTTTATCGATACCCAGTGAAACCCTAAAGATTTAACCAGATCTAATCAAGCTATTAAACGATGATTCAAGCAGATCTGTTTCTGTTGCCAACAACCAAAAAGTTGTTGATGTGGCTCTATAATCCAGTCAATTTAACTCCCACCTGAGTGACTCTGGGAAATCAATAAACTCGGGAGTGAAACTCTGACTCCTACAACTCCATCCATAGTGCTCAGGGAGATAGGTGGCAGCTAATAATGCAAGAAGCATCTGCTCAGACATTGGGCGAATCCTGGCAAACTACAGTGAAATCAGTTTTCTTTTACAGACCCTCTGAACCATTCAGGAAATAATTTAGATAGCCACATTATCAGGTCTCCTGCAAACATTTTTATATTAAACCCAAGTCATGTATATGTACATACTTTTTGTATTGGCTCCTATCCAGCTCAAACACATGGGCAATATGGAACCCACTGTGACAGCCATCATGCTATACAATTATTTTCATTTGTGCTGCCACAAATAAAGAATTAAAGATAAAAGTGGTACCTCTAGTATGAAATCTAGCTTTTGTTGTTAAGATTATTTCCTTGCCCAGTGACATAAAAGTGATCAGTATGCCATTATGTGGATAAAACAATTAAAAAGTTTCTCAGAACTAACTCTGTCATCTTGGACAACAAAATTACTGCTGCAAGGAGCCACCAGCACATTTGTTTTCATTATTACCAAATGTACCATCCTCATCAAAATGATAATTTGACAGGGGTTTTTTTGTTCAACTCATGACAATTTATCCATGTCAGTGTTTATTATCTTACTGTCATGAAAGCTCCTCTACAGACTGCCAGTTCATTATCCATACATGAGTTTAAAGCAGTATTTTGCCTGATCAGAAATGCCAAGCAAGTTCTCATCTTGCATTTGTCAAAATTATTTTGTAATAGGCCACTGTTTCTTTTTCTTAGAAAGCAATATATACCAAATCTTTTCTTAAAACATCAGATAGCCAATACATCTACTAGATTACTAGTTTCATTGGAGTACAGTGCCATAGTTTCAATGGAATGTATTTTGGAACAAAAATTTTGGCTAGCTACAATGAAAATAAGTATCAAATCTTAACCATATTTTCCATTCAATTCTTTAATCAATTCTTAGATGTCATGCGTTTTGTTCACTTAGTCGAGCATAAAGCTGGAAAAAAAACAGGTTTATTATTAGCAAAACAGGAAGATTCATAAATGCTGAGTCTCAGCACAAATCTGAACATTTTACATACTACTCTGGAAAATCTACAAAGACATAGCAAAATATAACTACAAGATATAGCCATGTAAAGAAATATAGAAGACTACATTAGTGACCAGTGTTCAGTTATGAGGGAATTGGATTTCTGGCTGCAGCTTGTTCCTTTGAATTTTAAGATCTCCTGTCTTTAAAAAAAAACTCCTATAATCTCTGTTGGACATTTCCTAATCATCACCAACCCTCAGTACGTTCACCTTCATATGATGCTGCTATGTACTCTAAAGTTGTTTTCATTTCTTCTGCCTGAAATTTTTCTGAGGTACACCAGCCCCTGACTCAGTTGGCCTTAACTGTTAGGAAGACTTTTCTTGATGCCCTATTCTTTCTTAACTTGAGGCTTAACATTTTCTTTTGCTTCTAATATCTGCTTGCCTTTGCAGGGTCTGTATGGAGAAATCCCTGTGACTGCTCTCCATCTTGCCAGCTCTCTATCAGGCATTTTGTTTCTTTGTACTCCCCCATTCATGCCCGAAATCTCTAACCTTACACCTATGGTGTGGATTCTTTGGGCCTCTGTCCTCGCTTAGTATTCCCCCTGAAAACTCTAAACATTGCTGCCATCCAGCAAGACCTGGACAGGCTGGAGAGTTGGGCGGGGAATAACTTGATGAAATATAACAAGGGAAAGTGTAGAGTCCTGCATCTGGGCAGGAACAACCCCAGGTTCCAGTATAGGTTGGGGAACGACCTGTTAGAGAGCAGTGTAGGGGAGAGGGACCTGGGGGTCCTGGTGGACGACAGGGTGACCATGAGCCGACACTGTGCCCTTGTGGCCAAGAAGGCCAATGGCATCCTGGGGTGTATTAGAAGGGGGGTGGTTAGTAGATCGAGAGAGGTCCTCCTTCCCCTCTACTCTGCCCTGGTGAGACCTCATCTGGAATATTGTGTCCAGTTCTGGGCCCCTCAGTTTAAGAAGGACAGGGACCTGCTGGAGAGAGTCCAGCGCAGGGCAACTAAGATGATTAAGGGAGTGGAGCATCTCCCTTATGAGGAAAGACTGAGGGAGCTGGGTCTCTATAGTTTGGAGAAGAGGAGATTGAGGGGTGACCTTATTAGTGCATATAAATATATAAAGGGGGAGTGTCACGAGGGTGGAGACAGGCTCTTCTCAGTGGCAAACAATGATAGGACAAGGGGCAATGGGTGCAAACTGGAACACAAGAGGTTCCACTTAAACTTGAGAAGAAACTTCTTTTCAGTGAGGGTGACAGAACACTGGAACAGGCTGCCCAGGGAGGTTGTGGAGTCTCCTTCTCTGGAGACATTCAAAACCCGCCTGGACACGTTCCTGTGTAACCTTATCTAGGTGTTCCTGCTCCGGCAGGGGGATTGGACTAGAAGATCTTTTGAGGTCTCTTCCAATCTCTAACATACTGTGATACTGTGATTACCTCCTTTGACTTCAAACAGAAATTCCTCTGGTGCACACTCAGAACACAAATTACCTCAGTTTCCCAGCACCTGCATCTTTCTGAAAATACATTTTCATCTACTCTCCGAAAGCTCCCTCTGAATTACTAGCGGATGATCACTGTGGCTGAAATAGAGCTGTCACTCTCCCCAACCTTCTTTCTCTCTCTTCAAGTTAACCTTGCACGTCTTCTGTCATAGCCACAGTAATACTTCCATCCTGCCTATCACTCAAACACATAATCCAGACATCAATTTAGACTTCTCTGTAGGTCTATAGAGCCTTGCTGGTTAGTGCTTGAGATATTTTTCCCACTCGTCCATATAGATAAAAACCTTCTCAAAGTTCCCATCATCTCCCATCTTGGCTAGTCCAGTATTGTTTCTTCCAATCCTGCCAAATGCCACCTTATTAGATTGTCAAATGAGAACACATGCACTATCCTACACCTGGGAGGAGCTTTCCAGAAATACATGTTCAGGATTCTATCTTCAAATCATCCCTTCAAACTCTTTTAGCACAGTGCCAATCAAATGCTGAGAAAACTGCCATGCCATGCTACCAGAGTTGCACTGTTGTTGGGTCCTTCTGTTTTCCTCTCTCCATGTCCACTTGCTGTCATCTCATTTTACACCTACACTGCAACGTCTTTGGGCCAGGGACAGCCTCTTGTCTTTGTATAGTGCCACCCAGAGCAAAGCCCACTTTACAATTAAGAATTCTGCAGAACACAGACCAGTACTGCAAATCACAGCAAAGTGTCACTGTGGTGAGAGCAGCTGTCTCTGTCAACATAGCTTTCCTTACCGCAGGAGGGAGAGAAACCCCAGCAGACCTTTCTTCCCACACTTGACTGCTTGCATCTTCTCTTAACAAAACAGTGTCTGCTTGACTCTAAGACAGTTTCTCCAAGGACACATCAGTGTCTCACACTTTGAAGCCTGTCTTTCAGTCAAGCAGTCCTTTTTCCGTCTTCAGAGAAGGAATAAGGTAAATCTTTAAGAGATACAGCAAATGTAAACAGTGTCAAAACAAGCAGGGGATGCTAAATTTACTTTAATGGGCTTTGACAGAGGTCTCCTGTTATATAGAAAAACAGGCTTTTGGTGAAATTAGTCGAGTCATCACAGTAAGAAGCAGAGTCTCACCACTTCCAGTCCCACTACTGAGTTATCCAGTGATTCCCAACCACCTGCTGGCAATTCACACTGCCTCTCTGGGCTGCCTTCCTGTAAAATTAACATATTCCAGCTGTTCTGTGGTCCCAGGCCTTAACCCTTGCCTCCTCTTACTAAGTACTTACTGTCTTCTTTTGCAACTTCTCTTTTCCCAAGCAACTTCAAGTCTCACTCTTTATTCAACTCTGTGATGAGGCCTAAGAGAAAGGGAAGCCATTTAGATTGCAAAGTAAAACAAACAAGCAAATGAGACCCAAATTGGGAACTTCTTGCCTTGAATTCAAGCACGCTAATTCTGTAGGGGTGAATAAGATAAAAAAAATTAGCTCTGTGCTGAATCTGAATATTTTGCAACCATTTGGTATTCTAATGGGAACATAAAAATAAATTATAAACAGGTCTTTAGCACTGCCCTTTCAAATTAATATTTTTGGGAAACAAAATTAGTCCTTGACACCCAAGCTTATATATACACGTTTCATATATGTATGAATATACACTTCCTTGTTCTAGTTCTATAGGAAAATTGCTGCCTTGGTATATTTATAATATGATAGTAAGGCAGATACAGCCTTAGTGCTGTTGCTGTGTGTTACTGGACATCATGACAAAAAAGTCAAAGAAAAAACCCTACAGTTTCTTTATGAAAATTAAAAAAAAAAAATAAAGTCTTATTTTGCTTTCACTAAACTAAACAAAAGTATGACAAGAATTTTATATGTTTCTTCTTGTTATCCATTTCTGTTCCCAAACACTATGGTTTATACTGATAATCAGATACAGCACACAGAATGAGTACTTATTCTTCAGCTGCCTCTGTGGTTCCCACCTACTAGGGGAAGGGTAAATAAGTTCTTGCTGCCATTAATTCTTCAAGAAGACTGCCTTACTTTGCTGCTTTTTGAAATACATTTTCACATCCTCAGGCACTGTGTGTGGCCAGCCATCATAACTGTTTCAGTTGAAAGGAACATGACGAATCTGTCAATAAGTCAAACACAGGGAAATAATTGGGGTTCTAAAATGTGAATCTGGGAGATGGTGGGGAGAGAATACTTACACTTCTGAAAGAAACCTCTCAGGAATAAGAGGTACTGTACAGAGACCAAGATAACATGGTAACATACATTTATATGCATAAATATACCCCCTCACATTCCAGCTGTTCACATATGAAGAATCAATTTATGTTCTGCCTGTTCTGTTTTGTGGCAGGACATACACAGTTCATATTACAAAGTCATTAGCTGATATACCTTATTGCAGAACTATTGTACTCTGTCAAATTCCTACAAATGGAAGCACTTAGGGCTGTAAATAAAATATCCATGACTGGTAACATTGACTTACACATCCTCCATCTTTAAAATTACTTTTAAAATTATATATTACTTCTAAAGGCATCAGGAACTGTACAGCATAGAAAGTAATTAGAGCATTGCATATCCATAGGAAGTACTTTAACAGATATAGAAAAACAGGGATAAAATGGATTACCCAAAAGCATGCAGGAATTGTTTCAGAGATGTCTCAAAATTTTGCAATTGAATTCTGAAAGAAACAATGAGCAAATATGGGAAATCCTATGCAAACCATATAAACAATTCTGTGGATGAGGACTCATCTTCTCTACAGAGCCCATATCCAGAGGCTTTTCCCTGCCCCTAAGGAAGATAATCAGTGAGATAGGGAATCTATTTTGGATATTTATTTCCTGATTAAATCTAAATTATTCCTTGGTTCCTTTCACTTTTTGTAATTTGGGAGCTTTAGGTCCTGCCTCTTAAGCTCTCAAAACTCAAGAGTCCATTTGAAAGTTTTCACTATGAGTATCTTTTGAAAGAAGAAAGACAGTAGTGTCTATCAACCTAAACTAGAACTGACTTTCAAGACAGTTAAGATAGCAGTCACATGGGGTTTGGTACATGCTTCATTTGCAGATGCTAAAATCGTATGTCTAAAAAGTGGGAATTTGAGGAGAAGTACTGATTTTAACCCAGAGTTACTCATCTCTCTGATTTATTTTTCTATTTGACTCTTTAGGAAAACTTATAGGGAAACTGAAAACACGAATTTTTTACTAAAACTTTTTTAATGGAAATTGGTATTTTAGCAAAATAGTGTTCAATTGCCACACTCTTAAAATGACTGCAGGAAGTCCAAGGTTTGGGGACACAGGGCAAGAGGCCTAACTTCGCGTGCTTTCTTTACCATTTTTAGTAAATGGTGCCCTTACTATAAGCAAGGTTTATATATAGTGATGATTACATCCTTCTAATGTACCATACAACAATGAAGTTTAACAGAGATGCTTTAGCAAGCTCTTGCAAAGCAACTTATCAACTTCTAAAAGCAGAAACTGACCAGTATGTAAAAGCACAAATTGCTATTACAAGTTGCCAAGTAAGGTGTTTAAAAGAGTTTAAAAGTCTTGCTCTCTGGGCTAGCTGGCATTTTTCTGAAGATATTTTCTAATAGTTTTCTTATTCAGATGGCTTCAAATGGTGATTTGGGCAGCTGGAACCTGGGGGCATATTTGCTTCATTACATACATTATTTTGTCAGCTGGAGCCGATTTTTTGTTAATATACAGATGGACACAGAAAACCTTCAAAGACTTTACAAATATATTTTGTTTAAAATGTAAATACAACCCTGGTATCATTAATAGCCAAGCTAGCTTGTTTCTCTTCACATTCTATGCCTTATATGCCAATAATCTCAGGGCTTTATTTTGCTTGATATAAATTTTCATTAAGCCCGAGGAGGGCTCTTTCTGTCTTTCCTGACTGATTCAGGTCTAATTGGCCTCTAAGGATAGTAAGCTGCTTGAGGGTTCTTTCAGAATCTGTGTTCCTCTGCTGCTTTGCCAAATCTTTTTTTTTTTTTTTTTTTTTTTTTTAATTTCATCCAGCAATTTGTTTCTATCAGGTCTTTTCTCCATTTTCCCTGCCACAGACAAAGCTGCTATGTTTTAATTCTGTCATTATACTTTATGAGCTTTCTCCCCCATCAGTGTTCTCAGAAGAAATGCCGTTTTTCAGGTAGCTCCACCTTTTATTTCAGAGTCTATTATGATATATCCTAAAAAAAAGGTTTAGTCAGGAAAAGTTTGCTATCTGTCTCTACTCCAGTTTAACTGAATCTCCATAATAGATGTGTGAGCTATTTAACCTCTTTCCAGCAAGGCTAAACCGACTGTAAGGAAGTCAGAACATAATTGAATCTAAGACAGAGGCAATATGAAAAATACGGAAAACCAAAAACCCCCTCATACATAAAGAATTGAAAAATACACAGAAAAACGCTTTCTTATCAGCTTTCTTTCTCTTTCTTAATAATCACGTAGAATTCTTGGAGCTTTTTTCCCTTCTTTTTAACAGGGGTGACTAGGTTTCTCACACAATTTCCTTTAAACTGAATTAAGAGGTTTGCTATCATTGTGTGTTTTCCTCACTTTTCATTCTCTTCTGTATGGATACGGAAGTCTCCATTTCAGCAACATATTATTTCCTTGAGCAGTACTGGATCTATTATTTGCTTGCTATACCTCTAATTTTGCTTTCATAGTTTCAGAAATAGTCCCATTCTGCAACTTAAGTAGCACATTTCCAAGCTCGAGCTCACAATTTGCTTTCTTGGGCTGTCTTTGCAGCCAGTACTCCTCAGTTCCTCTATGCAGCTTGCTTTATTTAACAAATTTCCAACCATAAAGTTTGTGACAGCCAAAGCCATTTCTCTTTTCATATGGCTGAATACTCAGAGAGTCAAGCTTAGCCTGAAATGGATTCTGATCTCTCGCTAAAGATGTTTGGGTTTTCAGTAGTGTAAACTACAAATTTTTAACCATGATATTCTCAAACATGCTCTCATGTCTGCATCATTTTCATCGTGCTCAAGAGCCTTTAAAAATGGGAAAGACAACTATTCCAGAATTTGGTGAAGTTCTGAATACTGACAGCAGAAATTGTAATAAGAGGAGTCTAGTAAAAGTCAGTAATTTACTGTACAACATTTTTTATGTCTAAGAACTAAAAATTGCACAGAAAAGCAAAAAACATATACTAAGTACTTTCTGTAAGAGGGAGAGAGGACAGAGGAAAGACTCTGGAGAGATAAAGGGAATGGGAGAGAAATAATACAAAGGAGATAGAGAAATCAAACATTAAGACAGAGAGAGGAATGACAGAAGCCCTCTGCTTCTGACCTGAATTATGCGGACGCTTCCCATTAAAGCAGCCACCTCAAATTAACACCTTGAATTAAATTCTCCATCCACTGAACATTAAGGAGGACATGATTCCATCACAGTCTTTGAGATAAAACCAAGTAACTGGATAGATGTTTAAGACTGCTGTTAGAAATGTTTTCTGTATTCTTTCTTGAAATGAAAAGAATGAGAGAGACAAGCACAGAAGTAAATAGTTAAACAGTTTCATGCAAGTACTTATGTTTACCTGGCTGAAGAGAAGCAGGAAAGCATGTTCTCTTAACTCAGATGCTTGCTTGTAAATAGCCTTGGACCCTTTTACTACCTTTGTCTTCCTCAAAACATGCAAAATTTTCATGCTCCAAGAAAAAAAATAAATATCTAAGATAACAAGCAATATTTCATTGCCTTCAAATGATTCCATATACAAAGGATATATAACAAAGGATACAAGATCTCTTTTACAAACAATGAAGCCACATATTACCCGATAGCATCAAATGCTGTACCTGTATCTCAGCCTGGTTGGAAAGTCTTGGGATTGCAGGACCACAATATTTCGCTTGCCTGCTATGCACAGATCTTCTGCACGAACTGAACTGACAGATCACAAACTGTGTTGCCAGACAGAGAAACTAAACAAGAAAAAAAGCAGAAAACTTTTGGCCTCTGTGGTCTTTTCCGGTTATTGCTACTTCAAGCATTTCCTTAGATTAAGTGCAGGTTAAAATATGCTCAAAGAGAAATGTCATTCTAAATTGCAGGGATCCCTAAGATGTACTGAACAGTGCATTTGAAAAACAAATCACATTTTGCGTGCACACACCAGTCTTTTAACATTCAGGTTGCAAACTGTTTCTATTTGACATGTCAAATGTGTGAGAGTTTTGGTGTTGTTGGTTTGGGTTTTTTAACTTACATAACTTTATCCATTTCTTTTAATGATTCTATTGTAATCTTTTACAGCTGTTCACATGCTCTGGTCCCAAACTCTGCAATTTTCTCACAGTATCTGGTGCTGAATTTCAAAACTAGCCTGATTTTAAAGTATTAAAAAAGTAATGAACACTGGGAGAAATTTATTCAAAATACTTACTCAATAAGTGTTTCACCTGATTAATTATTTGTTGCATTACACTGAACTGAGTTTTACTGTGGTGATCATCCACTTGTGTCATAAAAGTAGATGTAAGCCTTACCATAACAAAAGCATAAAACTTGTTTGTAAGCAATAAATTACTTATGAATTCACACACTTAATTGTATTTTTTATAAAAGGGGTTTCTCTAATTGTATAGGCTTTATTGCATGAAATTATATGGACTGTGATACCATATACGATGACTGGACAAGAGACATCCACGAATAGCGCTTTGAGCTTACTTAACATTGGCAGATGTAAAGATCCCTCAAAGTGACGTCAGACCACAATTAACTCTTTTGCCCCTTTTATGCGTTCAACAGTCAAGAGCAGGGTCCTCATTTTCTTCACATTGCTCCTCCCATAAGCAGGACAAAATAAAGTTATGAGCATTTCTACCCCAGAGCTTTCTGCCTCCCACAAATAAACAGACAAGGAAACATCTGTTGCTCTTGCTCGTAAGAGGCAGGAGGAGCAAAGGGGCTTCTTTGGAGAGCTGCAGAAGAGGCACATGTTAAGTAAGGCTGAAGATGAATGCAGTGGGAGGTTTAACGCTGGAAATGGCAGTTCACCTCCCTCACTCTGCTCCTGAAGCCGGACCTCATCCACAATTGCTCTGTGTTCCTATTTGACATCATACACGCACCGAGAGGGAAAATTGTAAAATATGCCAGGTCCCTCAAATCTCCCACATTTGAAATACTTCCCATTGCTATTCCTTCCTCTGAGTCCCAAAATGACATTAAGTATTGATATAATTTTCAAAGGTGTGCTATTTACAGGAAAAACCTGAATGGCTGCTTTGGAAGCATTTCAAGCTGTCAAACAATTATATATTTAGGGCAAATTACATTTAGTAAAAACAGCTACAGACACACATGGAAAAAATACGAATAAATCCCATTATCTCAGACAGCAGCTTTGCCACAAATAACCCTAGATGGAATTACACATTTAAGCCAAAAACACGAGGCACTGGCCTGCACATGACACCCCCTCACAGCCGCAGTGACCCTTCCTCACTGCCATGGCAGCACTCTGACCAAACACCATTTAAAAACAAAGCCCAACACTGACCAAAGGTCACTTAAAAAAACCCAGCACCACACGCTCACACCCTTGGCCTGCACCCCCACCAGACACATCCCACGCTCAGCCCCACATGCTGCCTGATGAGGGCAATGGGGGAGCAGGGGGAGGTTGAAGGCCACAGTGCCTGCCCCACCGCTAGGCCGTGGATCCCCTGCTGCAGGCAGGACCCGGGCCAGCCCTTTGGACTGGTCTCCAAAATAAATAATGTTACTTAATTTGTGCTGTCTGTGCGTGTGTACGTCTGTGGAGATGGATCCAGAACAGCTGTGGTAGTGTGAGGAGGGCTGTGAGTCCTTTGGCACAAGCGTCCCTGTGGTGTCTGGGCCTATGCTGCTGTCACTGGCCAGCTACGGCCTTACATGGCAAGAGAGATGCAGAGACCAGCTCTAGCCACAGCAGGCAATCAAAGCTTTTGTGGTGGAGGGAACTGGGAAACAGCCTTCTCAGACAACAAATAAAGCCAACGTGCAGAAGAGTCATAAAAGCCAAGAGGCAAACGTTGATTTTGCTACAGGACCAAGCCCCACTCTCGTATTTAGTTCCCAATCCAATTCCTAAACGCTGCTATCCCTGCATTTAAAATGAAAGGACAGAATTACCTCATAGCAGCCTTCTAGTATCTGAAGGGGAGCTATAGGGATGCTGGGGAGGGACTCTTCATTAGGGACTGTAGTGATAGGACAAGTGGTAACGGGTTAAAACTTAAACAGGGGAAGTTTAGATTGGATATAAGGAGGAAATTCTTTACTGTTAGGGTGGTGAGGCACTGGAATGCGTTGCCCAGGGAAGCTGTGAATGCTCCATCCCTGGTGGTGTTCAAGGCAAGGTTGGACGAGGCCTTGGGTGACATGGTTTAGTGTGAGGTGTCCCTGCCCATGGCAGGGGGTTGGAACTTGATGATCTTGAGGTCCTTTCCAACCCTAACTATTCTGTGATTTTATGATTCAGCCAGACACCACCCATAGCTGTTTTTCTCCATCATAAATCACCTTCAATTGTGTATATTACCCGATACACGCTTTATTAGTCCTCAAGCAATAACACATATCTGTGGCAAACCTCCATCTAGCATGTGCTCTCTTGCTGGGTTTATGGCATATGGTGACCTGTCAGGAGAACTATGACAGGAAAAGGAGGTGCACAACAGCAGTAAAGAGACAAAAAGCAGTAAAGACTGCTGTGGAAACATCACAAATGCCAGAAAGCTCTACGTAACACTCAAAGTTTTCCTTCTGTCCCCTTTCTTCGCTTTATTGTATCTCATCTGATCCACCTACAGCATTCACACGTGTCTGGAACCTGGACCCCAGAAGGTTTCAGTGGAGGGTTCAGGGATTAGGATCCATAAACTATACGAACTCTCACTGTTGTGTGTCTCCACAGCCTTCTGCAGTCCTGCTCCAAATCCCTTGTCCTACACATAGCTCTTTGTTGCCATCCTCACTTGGTTCTAACGTTTCACAAGTCTTCTTACCAGCCCATAAGCTCTGCCCCAGGAGTACTGCTTTATTAACTTCTTGTTCAGTGGCTGGTACTAACAAGCTGCTTGTTACCAGCCCATCTACCTCAGCTCTTACCCGCTCCCCAGTGCTGCTCTTGACAAACATGGCAGTGTTGCCACACAGACCTGTATCTACTGTAGCAGGGGTCCCAGCCGGGGTCCAAGGCTTACACAGTAAGGGATACAGCCGTGTCAGATTAGCTTGTGCTCAACACCTCCAAAACAGGTAGAGTGTGACCTGAAACAGCAGGAGTTCAGGGCTGGTAGAAGGTCCCAGTGCAGGCTGCAGCCAACCTAACAGCACAAGACATCCCTTCTTCCCTTTCTGGAGCCATCATTTTCACCACTAAAACTTCCAGTAGTACCATCTGCAGTACTAGAACCAGACTACAGTACGACAGGAAAGAAGGGTTCACAGAATGCACACACACAGAGAAAAAGGTCTCCAAAACCTACAGAAAGTAGAAGCAATGGGATTTTGTTGCATTCAGCCACCTTCCCTAGATACTGACAATGACTCACGCAGTGGCCTAGACAGAGAGGATAGAAAGCAGGAACCAATTTAACCAGTCAACGTATATCATTCTCATCACAAACGTCACCATGATGCCTCCACCATAGGGTGAACAGATGCACAGAATCCAAGTGATTTTTCCTGCAAACCTATACTAGGGTGTCATTTCTTAACACAGCAGCCATGGTGCTTGCAACATGATGGAGTAGACTGTTATTCTCCCAAGTGTTTGCCAAATCAAAACACAATCTGATGAAGGGGAAAAAAAATCCAGTTAGGAAGTGTCTGTGATGAAGTAGCCATTTGTGGGCTTTGTGCATAAATGACGAATAAAGTTATGTATCTTGCATAGGGGAGTAAGTCCTAAAGAAACAGAAGGGAGAACTTAAAACTGTGGGTGGCCCAACATATGTGAAAGTCAGGGACTCCTTTGGATAACATAACGTTTCAGAGATATTTTATCCAAACCTGGAAGCCAGCTCACTCATCTCTCTGAGGGCTCTTTTCCTGTCAGGGTCCTTATTTGAAAGACCTTTCTGGAGAAAGGTGTACTGGAATATGATGCTACTAATCAACTAATCATCAGTGCTTGAAAATTACTTGCTACAGTGATCTAGCAGCCTGCAATCCTTGGTATTGTTCTTCAAGTAGCTTTGTGAAAAATGCATGTGTTTTAAGATATATAGAGAAGTAAATCTTGTTCTATCTGTTAGGCATGCCACTAGCATGAGATCTGAGCTTTCAAAGGGAGCTGAAAAGCTGTGCACAAATTAAGAGTCACAAGTCTTGCTTTGGAACCTTTTCCTGCTGGTGTCCCTCTCATGTTGAATTCAGACTCCACGCAATTGGTCTGTTTGAGAAAGCGTAGCAGGGGAGGGAAAGTTATTTCCTTGCAGATAATTTTCAGAGCATTCTTCTGCCAACTCAGCAATGATAGGGCTTGAGAATGTGTAACAACTTGCCTGGACAGGGGCTTGGTGAGCCTCAAAATGCGAAAGTCAGTTCTGGAGTTACAGAGAGTCTCTGGTTTGAGTCAGAAATGCCTTTTAAGTAAACCTATGTAGAACCCCTTTCATAAAATATTTCCTTTTGATACAGTCTTTCAGAAACTAGAGCACAGAAT